TAGCAGACATCTTCTACACACAACATATTGTTGAATTTATGTTATTTATAATACAAAACCTATTTTTGCCTAAGCAGTGGCTTTGAGGAGAACACTATGGTCTCATGTATTTAATATCTGCGTCACATAAATGGGGTGTAGATTAAAGACGGCATCTGTCTTGGCCGAGCCCGTGGGACGCACAGAAAGGTTACTAAATGTATCACTCCACCTTTTGCTGGGAGATTTAAATATGGAGTTATAGTGTGACTGTAGTCTCGAGAGAGCAGTGCATCCACCTCATTGTGTGTACATATCCCACAACTCATCTATAATACACACACTCACAGAAACCACACCAGCCAACGGTATCGTCTGTTTATTCTAAGCACACGCGCATCTGCCACTTTAAATTCTTGAGCTCGTCACAGCAGGATTGATTCTGATTGGCTGTCATTGTTTTTATCGTTCATCAGCTGGAAAAAAAAAATCATTCTGAAAGTGATTACAACGATATCGTTTCTCTGTGCCTTTATCATTATAGCTGTGGTGTGAACTCTGCTATTCTTTAATATTGAGAACGATTTTTAGAACTTATAACTTCTTGGTGTGAATGGGCCTTTAGTCTTTATTAATGGCATTTTCCCCCAGTGGCATCGAAAATGGTTTCATACATCAATATTTTCAAGGTATTGTATCATAATGAGAAGTTCCAGTATTGTGACAACACTTCTATGAACTACGCAGACTGTTGCAGACAAGCACTTCCATTGTAGGCAGCTTTATTTGATTTACATTTGAGCTATTTAGTTATTTCATGTGGCGACGCACTGCTCGCATCGGTTGTAGACGAGAATTAATATAGACTAGAGAACACTCACACAAAACAATGCATTACAGCCTTGAGTCGTGTTACACCATTAGAATCTGTTTTTGAAGTTGCTCCAAGAAATAAAATAATCAAATGAGTTTAATTTGTAAAGTATTTAATTCACTTGATTGTCAAAAAGAGCCATTATGGTTGTGTTATAAAACATTTTGCATTGGATTTCTGTGATACATAAACAATTACCATATAAATTATATAAAATTCCTCACACCGTGATATAAGATTTTGGTCATACCGCCCACCGCTAGCAGATGGTTAACCACAGCAGCAAGAGCCATCCTAATAGATTTCATGAATAAAAGCTGCACTCGTCATTCTTGGGTTTAAGACGTGAAGCTATGATCTCTACACAGACACACACATACATGCATCTGGTCCCGTGTTTCCAGCATGCAGTCTGGACCTGAGGTGATGTAGCAGTGGGTCGAGTCCAGCTGTTTATTGATCCGTCTGTCTGTCTGCACAGGTCTGAATCAGCTAAATCTATCACAGACCTCTTCAGAGGTCTGACGCTCTTCTAGCTCCAGTCTGTGACTAATGAAACCTGGACACAGTCAACACCAGGCAGGTGGAACCATTAACCCCCCCCCTGCTGTCGGTCCTAACCACTGGACCTGTGTGAACATCACCACTGCTTATACAGCACAATAACATGGTGACAATCAGAAAACCTTGTTCACCTTGCTATTAAAGCGGAAAACAGCAGCGGTGTACCACAGATCTACATAAATGACTGAGAAATCTGCGTGGTTATGACATCACAACCATGAACTTCTTTATACTGATTATTAAATCTCAAGAATGATCTTTTAGTCAAATCACCTTTATTTCTACAGCTCTTTATACAATACAGATGATGTCAAAGCAGTTACAGTCAGTACGTTTACATGGACAACAATACTCCGATTTTAATACGATTAAGACAATACTCTGATTAAGAATCTACCATGTAAACAGAGATTTTTGATTACCTTAATCCGGCTAAAGTCATAATCGAAGTAAACACTAATCGAATTACGACATGTGGAGTATTCCTATTTTAGTTGCATTATTTAAGTGCAGTAAAGACATGTACACACCTTAATCACATTATTACCGTCGTGTAGGACTTTTCACCACATTTTGCGGCAGGATACACACACGGCAGTGGTCAACCGTTTGACGGCAAATAAAGAGCTTCAACACCACCATCGTCTGAATGCACGTATAGCATGACAAATAATTAACTGCACTTGAAGCTTTCAGTAAATTAAAAATGAAACACCCAAAACTGTATATGGCATCATAATGAAGACGAACTATACGTTTATACGTGAAATTCTGGAGGGGACGTCAGATGGCATCGCGTGGTGACATAATGACGTGTGCTATTAATCGAACTATAACATGTAAAACGGGAACATGAAAGGATTATTCTAAAAGCAACTCATGTAAACACCTTAATCGTAATATTGTCTTATTCAGAATAAGGTAAATAATTAGATTACTGATGTCCATGTAAACGTAGTCAGTGATAAACAGGGAAAATAGCAGAATTAATTATTGGAAATTCAACTATGGAGACAAGTCTATGTTTTTTTTCAGCTCATGTGCAAATTAACTGGTAAGACTTTACAATAAGGTTCATTAGTTAACATTAGTTAACTACTTTAGTTAGCATGAACTAAGAATGAACAATAGTTCTTCAGCATTTATTAATCTTAGTTAATGTTAATTCCAACATTTATTAATGCATTATTAAAATCAAAAGTTGTGCTTGTTAACATCATTTAATGCACTGTGAACTAACATGAACTACCAATGAATGACTGTATTTTCATTAACATTAACAAAGATGAACAAATACTCTAATAAATGTATTGTTCATTGTTCATGTTAGTTAATACATGAACTAACATTAACTAATTGAACCTTATTGTAAAGTGTTGCCATAAAACTTTATTGAACATTATTTGTAGTGCACCAGCTGTGCTTGGTTACTTTTGATAAGAAACAAATATTTAAAATAATGTCTTTATGTTGTTTCCACATTAAGTAGGAGATTCAATGTGAAAACACATATATATATATATATATACGTTTTCAAAAAAAATGCATACATCAACGCCTATTAAGTGTTTAGAAACCTGGTTTGCTTTCATGAATGCCATCCTGGTAATTATAAGAGTGTCTTAAAGGTACAGTAGCACCAAAATCATCTGAATAGAATGGAAGATCTGATCTTTTTTTTTAAGGTTGTAAGGGTCAGAGAAAGAGTGTAAAATCCTTTGAAATTTGAATCAAAATTATGCCTTTTGTTGCTGCAAGAAACCTTGACTGACATCACAAGTGGGCTCACTGGAACCTTTAAAAACATTTTCCAACTATTAAAGTGCGGCGCAATTCCTCTGACAAAACGTAAAGCGCATATGAATGTGCTCTGGTCTCATCTACTGTGTCTAAGTGCATCTTCAAACAGCAGCAGGACAGCACACTCGAGCGTGCGTTTGAATGTCAGCCTCTGCGGGGGCTCTAATTGCACACCCACTCCAGCTAATAGGGCAGCATCCAAAAGTTTAGTGCTGCATCGCCTTCAGGTTTCATTTCAAAGCATCCGCACCCGTTCGGCCCTCACAGGTACGTCTCCCGCCAGTGTTTACCATTCTCTCAGAAAGCGCCGCTGCTAGCATAGGTGACTGACCTCAATTTCTCTCACTTTTCTCTCCTGCAGAGCCGGTGAATAACTGCTCATAAATAACACCGCTTTGTTTGGCTGCGTCTGAGTCCGGCTGAAGAGAACCCGCTCTGAATTTCTTTGTCTTAAGCAGAAGTGCGATGCAGGTTTTCGATGATGGGTATAAAATATGTAGGAAAGCGAACGCTGAAGAAATTATTCTATTTATCCTCAGATCCAAGGCGCCAACTGTCCAGAAAAAGTGTGGATCTTTAAAAAGATCCTTGCACCAAATTGTAATAGTGAAAAAGGGATTGGAAAGCACAGTGTGAAATGTACTTTGATATGTACTGCAAGCATTTACCTGTTTCTCACACTGGCCGTAGTCTGGACCCTGGTCGACCTGAAAGAACGACAGCTCTCCCCGGTTCTTGGCCATCTCGATCAGACTCATGGCGGTGCGGACGGTGGAGTTGCGGGCATGTACAAACACCATCACCTAAAACAAACAGAGAGTACAGCAGCACTTGGTTAAGTTACGCTTGGGGTCTGGAAATCACCTGACGGTGAGCTGCCTGACCACATCATAAATGACTGAACTCAAGCACTGTACATAGGCAGGATAAGAGTGTCTTAAAGGTACAGTAGCACCAAAATCATCTGAATAGAATGGAAGATCTGATCTTTTTTTTTTAGGTTGTAAGGGTCAGAGAAAGAGTGTAAAATCCTTTGAAATTTCAATCAAAATTATGCCTTTTGTTGCTGCAAGAAACCTTGACTGACATCACAAGTGGGCTCACTGGAACCTTTAAAAACATTTTCCAACTATTAAAGTGCGGCGCAATTCCTCTGACAAAACGTAAAGCGCATATGAATGTGCTCTGGTCTCATCTACTGTGTCTAAGTGCATCTTCAAACAGCAGCAGGACAGCACACTCGAGCGTGCGTTTGAATGTCAGCCTCTGCGGGGGCTCTAATTGCACACCCACTCCAGCTAATAGGGCAGCATCCAAAAGTTTAGTGCTGCATCGCCTTCAGGTTTCATTTCAAAGCATCCGCACCCGTTCGGCCCTCACAGGTACGTCTCCCGCCAGTGTTTACCATTCTCTCAGAAAGCGCCGCTGCTAGCATAGGTGACTGACCTCAATTTCTCTCACTTTTCTCTCCTGCAGAGCCGGTGAATAACTGCTCATAAATAACACCGCTTTGTTTGGCTGCGTCCGAGTCCGGCTGAAGAGAACCCGCTCTGAATTTCTTTGTCTTAAGCAGAAGTGCGATGCAGGTTTTCGATGATGGGTATAAAATATGTAGGAAAGCGAACGCTGAAGAAATTATTCTATTTATCCTCAGATCCAAGGCGCCAACTGTCCAGAAAAAGTGTGGATCTTTAAAAAGATCCTTGCACCAAATTGTAATAGTGAAAAAGGGATTGGAAAGCACAGTGTGAAATGTACTTTGATATGTACTGCAAGCATTTACCTGTTTCTCACACTGGCCGTAGTCTGGACCCTGGTCGACCTGAAAGAACGACAGCTCTCCCCGGTTCTTGGCCATCTCGATCAGACTCATGGCGGTGCGGACGGTGGAGTTGCGGGCATGTACAAACACCATCACCTAAAACAAACAGAGAGTACAGCAGCACTTGGTTAAGTTACGCTTGGGGTCTGGAAATCACCTGACGGTGAGCTGCCTGACCACATCATAAATGACTGAACTCAAGCACTGTACATAGGCAGGAACAATTCCATACATTAAATACCAGGTAAAACAGACCATTTTAAATACACTGAACCCAGGACGAGGCCACTGCACAGAATAATGTCTGCTCTACCCAATCAAAGCAGCGAGAATATGAATAAAACGGCAAAATAACCACATCTATAATTTGTGTATTTTTACAAAGACGTAATAATGTTATTTTGTGCCTATGCTTTTAAAATCTTGATGTCAAAATCCCAAAATTTCTGGCCTCGCCACTGCAATGAACTGATTATCAATACTGTACTTTTCAGTACTGAAAAACAAACTAATAAAAAAATAACAAACTAATAGAAAAACTAATTCAGTATTATAGTGGGTCTTTTACATGCAAAAGCTAACAAGCGCATCTGGCCTCTTAAGTTCTGGATTGTTCTCTCTCAGTCTGACAAGGCAGAAGCTCCATCCACAGTGAGCAGCATCAGATGTGCAGAAGGGCAGAGCGGTGTCTATGTGCCATATTAGTCAAAGGACAAAAGAGCGTTGTAATTTTCCTATTACACTCAGGCTGCCCTTGCAAAGCAGTCAATACCCCAGACAAAAACAATCAATAACAGAAAAGCAAGACAGTTATGAGATGGCAAAAAGACCTCTCTCTCTCTCTCTCTGTTCTCACTGTCCTTTAACTGAATGAACTGATGGTGTGAGAGACGCTAGGAGGAGAAATAAAAATGACACTGTTCTCTTTGCACATAATATTCTAACATATTAACTCCCTACAGAGTTGACTTTTTTTCTACTGTGCAACATAAAATAAGGTATTTTGAGATTTTTTTGGGTCCATAAAACGGATGTCAATTTTGCTTATCAACATTCTTCAAAATATCTTGTGTTCCACAGAAGAAAGTGATATCAGTTTTAAATGGCATGAGGGTGATTAAATAACCGCATTTTTAGTTTGGAAGGAACTATCCATTTAAATAAAAGTATTATTATAAATCTTAATGATTTCAATTAGTAATTTTTCACAGTTTCAATAGCAAATGGAAAACATTGAAACTAAATTAAATATTCGCTAAATCAAAAGAAAAAAAAACAGACGTAGCGTCCTCAAAAATGCTTCTTGTTTATATTTATGCGCTTATCATTATTATATCTACTAGCATTTTGTTAAATATTTCAATATTTATAATGAAAAAACAAACAAACATCTCAGAAACGCAAAGTCCCAGAAATCTCTGAAAATTAATACTATAATTACCAAGAATGAGCAAGTAAGATGCTGAATTTATATATA